AAGGATTTAAATTTGCCCCCCCCCCCCCCCCTCACTCTACGAAAGTGAGATCCTGTTCTTGCTCTCAGAATGTGTTCCTTAGGATGTGCCCATGTTTAAAATTCTAATTGCTTGGTACATTTGAATATGAAATGTGAGCCTTCAGGCTTTTCTAATGGGAGATCACACCACGAGTGAATTTGCATTTTGTCTTACGGGTTGTGTATTATGTCAACATGTGTTAGATGGATAGTTAACACTTTACGTGTCATGAAACCCCCATTTCAGCTCGGGTCAGATCTCACCACAGGTTTGGAAAAGCACAAAAACAGTCGGTGTGAAGAGAAGGGGGATGGGGCCATAACTCTCATCCAGCCACTTTCCACATTCTACTAATTATGAAGTTCAAACCGTATCAAAACCTCACTAATGCACAAGGCAATTCACAGTTCCATGCAAAAAATGTATCAGACATATGTGTTTGCACTTTTTGCTTTTGCAATGATTCAGGACAGTAATGATGGATAGTGTCCCCTCTGTGTTGATTTTGAACTTTTGAAATTCATAAATATCTTTTCATGTTTCATGACAAAAATGAATCAAGTGTTCTCAGAGTTTACCTCAAGTCATTTATAATCCATATCAAAAATGTGTAAATCCTGAGTGGTGATAATCCAAATAATGCGTGCGCCAGCTTGTAATATCCACAAATCCAAAGGCTCGTAATTTACACCCATCACTAAAGCTGGCATGTTGCCCTGAGACGGGTAGACTGTTCTAGCACAGATTTGAAGAGGTGGCAAAGGGACCCCCCCTTCACTCTGTTTGCAAGTCCCCTTCTGCTCGCTCTCTCTCTCTCTCGCCCGTCTCGCTTCGTGGGTTGGCTGCTTTATCGGAAGATTAGGAGATTTGGACCGCAGTTTAATTATCCTCTTCGAGACGAGATAACATTTTATGGTTCTCCCCCCATATTTAAGACTGCTTTTTCTAGGCTACTTAGTTTCATCTATTCAAGAGCTTAAAAATGGCGTCCTATGTAATTAGCTCATCTCTTTTCCCGCACACTGTGAGAACAAAGCAGCCCAAGGCAAATTAGCAGCATCTTATTCTCCATTAAATTGTTCAATATGTTTTAAAGCTTAACCACTCATTGTAAAATGCTAATGTGCATGACTGTTTGATATGTATGGTAGAAATGTGTATATTATGTGCTGAATCAAAAAATGAATTCAGTGTATCCATCTCAGACATGGTTGGTTCTTCTTTGGATGACAATTTCAGGACAGTCTGGAATATTTTACACTTAATTCTTTACTTTATTTTTTTTTCAGGGCATGACCATAATGTTTCATCTGTAGCTATTATGCCCAATGGAGATCACATAGTTTCTGCCTCAAGGGATAAAACCATTAAAATGTGGGAGGTGGCCACTGGGTAAGTCATTGAGCAAGGTTTCTCAAAATGTGCATATTGGTTAAAAGGTCTTGGCTGCCGAAACAAAGGTTGTTGATCAATGTTCATAACCATAGTCTGCTCCAACAAAGCAGTCCTTTTAGTTACTGTATTTAGTTTCTTCAGCTGAAAAGCACCTGTGTAAATGTTGAACAAAAAACAAAGTGAAATTCTGCTCAAAGCATTTTTTCATGTTGTAATCAAATAGGGCAAACCTCTTATGTGATTTGCAAACACATCTGAGATGTGAACTTGCAAATGCTATTTTATACTAGAAATGTCCATTTCTAAATGTGGTGAAATCTGTGTTTGTTGGCATTGGTAAACAGGTACTGTGTCAAGACATTCACCGGCCACAGAGAGTGGGTGCGCATGGTGCGGCCCAACCAAGACGGGACCTTGATCGCTAGTAGTTCTAATGACCAGACGGTGCGCGTTTGGGTGGTGGCCACAAAAGAATGCAAGGCGGAGCTGCGTGAGCATGAGCATGTTGTGGAGTGCATTTCTTGGGCCCCTGAAAGCGCCCATCCCACCATCCTAGAGGCGACTGGCTCAGAGGTGAGAGCACAGAGTGAAAATAGCATTTGTAATGGCAAATATGCAACAGTTTTTTTTTTTTTTTTCAGTATTTGTTGATGCTTTCTGAAACTGCTTACATTAACAGTTCTTTTTCAATGAACCCACCACACTATTGCCAATAGTCAGTGGACCTTTATTTCCCCACAAAACTGTGCCTTGATGCCAAATTTTAGTATTGATTATTGTAAAAATTATTATTATATTGAATTATTTATGATTATTGAAAATCATACTTGGGGTTATACTTTTTACGTCCACCACTGGTAATTAGCAATAGTAACATGTAATATGTGCAAAATTAATACAGTAAAATACCAGGTAAAAAGAATTTCTAAAAGAAGTCTACACAGAGGTCATAAGAAACCAGCTTTTAGATGTTATTACAGGTCAACCCATTTTCCCCCTCTTCTTTTAACCTTGCATTTAAAAAAAAAAAAGGTTTGAATCAATGGATCTTTGTTTGTGTAAATAATCAGTGTATTATCTTTTGTCCAGCTATTTGGAGATTTTTATTGGTCTCTTCTTTGCTGTGCCCTTTTAACACATTTTGATGGGTCCTTTGATTTTTATCTAAATTTGTCCTGTAAAATGGTTTGAAATGGAGTGTGAAATGACATAGGTGGTATTGGCTAATGGCTTAAGGTGAAGAAAGTACCATTTAGATTTTTTTTTTTGCCGGTCTTATGATCAACCGTGTCCAATTTCATCTTTATCTGATGAAGCATTAGCCATTACAGCATGTGGAATACAGCCTTTAACCCTCACAGTAATTATTATTTTTATGTAGAGGAACCTTTCTCAAAAAATTTAAAAATGAACATATTTAGTCAGTCATCTTTGATCTTGTCGAACCTGTTCAGGTGAAATTAAAACAATCTCTTGACACCAGTAACACTGTCACAGATGTTAATTTCAAAGCCCCGTATGTCATTACAGCAGCTCTGTCTAAAGATACAAATGTGCCTGAACACACTTGCCTGAGCATGCCAGCCTCTCAGCAAGAGCAATTTTGTTTTTAATGTGTCTGTTCGCACTCCCCCTCAAGCAGAGTTGGCCTTTTATGGAGGGGGAATAATAGATAAGGCCTTGAACGTAATGACCATCCATTCTTCAGAGCTATCTAAATGCATTATCACCTCAGACACCTCTGCTCTTGTTATATCCCCCTTTTCATTGACTGCACGAGATGTGTAATGGCTCTCAGTACTCTATTTTGAGGTGTGGTATCGAAAGAACAGTAATTCATTAGAGTGCTGTTATGACTAGATGTCTGCACCTCTGCTAGAGTCTCAGCCGCCTCTAATAATGTTGTTTGTAGTGCATCAGTCTTAATAAAGCTGTTTCTGTAACCTTGTTGTGGGTTAAAGACTTGCCCATACACTATTGCATTCTTCTAGGAAGAAACATAAATATTTATCTATAAACACACTTGCTATGTGTGAGATGTTATTTATCAGTGTTGGGGAAGCTGCTTTAATATTATCTTCTGACACAAAAACAGTGTTTTTAGAATGAATGTTTTCAATGAGATAACAGGATAAGACATAAACTGACACTAAATATAAATAGAATGTAGAAATGCTCCATATTTTTGCTGGGGGTTTTTTCCGCCAGGCCAAGAAGAGCGGGAAACCTGGTCCTTTTCTGTTGTCTGGTTCCAGAGACAAGACTATCAAGATGTGGGATGTGAGCACTGGCATGTGCCTTATGACACTGGTGAGTCAGTCTAATAAAATTACTGTGCAGAATTTGACTTTGAGAAGCTTTATGGTTTTGTCTGAATCTGAAACATTTTGATTGGTGTCGTCTTCAGGTTGGCCATGATAACTGGGTGCGTGGGGTTCTTGTGCACCCTGGAGGAAAGTTCATCGTGAGCTGTGCTGATGACAAGACTTTGAGGATCTGGGACTACAAAAACAAGCGCTGCATGAAGACCTTGAGTGCCCATGAACATTTTATTACCTCTCTGGGTAAGCGGTCGTATAAACACTCACTGGTTTCTGAAATGCATATCAGATGTTTTGATGAGCACGTAAGGGTAAAGATGCCTTTTAGAAGTGTGCAGCACATCCTCACTTCCCCAAAGAGTGATTTCTAAGGTTAAAATCAAGTTTGTTACTCTACAAAAGGTAGTCCTGTCAGCCGTTGGCAGCATATTTAGAGAGGACGGCGCTGAACCCTCCAGTCTTTTAACTGCCTGAGTCCAGATCTTTTCAGTGGATCAAGGCACTGAAGCTCTCTAGAGATATTTGATGTTATTCAGCCAGCTCCCCTGTAGGCTCCTGTGAAGCTTCAAACTTGCTTTTAAAAGCACTTCAGTACACAGCACTCGTCTTCCAGACTATTGATTTGAAATGATGGTTTTAGTGTGAATAGAGAACTGAGTGTTTGTTTGAGGCTTCAGGTCTCTTGACAGTGGTTGAGCTTGTGAATCCTGCTATTTGAAGTGTTTTATGTATGTTTTAAAAGTTGAAATGTGTCATTTCTGTGGCATGAGCATCACCAAATGGAACCGGTACAATTTGGATTTTCAAACAAGATTTTCCCTCCTCTTCCATTGGTTAAATGATCACGTAGCCCCACCCTAAACTCATGCCATTGGCTGAGCTAATGCTGCCATGTTGGACTGATCACAGTTTGAGGAAAAAATCTTACATTTACACAGTATCTTCACTATATCAATTCACTATATCAACCAATATTTGGCTTTTTTTATCATTATCAGTTAAGTGATAAATTGCCAGTATTGGGCAGCACTAAGGAAGACAGGGCCAATTCATATCGGTTGATCACTAATCTTTATATAATTTGAGTTCAAGGACAGACTTGTGAAGGTCCTGTCTGTAGCTCCATCCTCCAGCCACAGGTCTATCATCAGCTGTTACTTTGTGAATAGATTGGAGGCTTCAGACTTCACAGCTTGAATGGGACTCTTTGCTTTTTATGGTATCACTGTTTACACAGCCAATTGTTAACAATATATCTGGATGTTATTGTTTGCAACATAATTAAAGAAAAAAATATGAATGTTTTGTCTGTTGGTAGTGATGCTGTATGAATGGAGTCAAACAGGGAAGTGACACTGGTTTCCAGTGGTTCCAGTTCATTACATATTCAGCACCTCAAAACTTGGCTTATAGGTTACAGAACAGGAAAAACTTATTCAATCATGTAGTTTAATTTTAAATGTGGCAAGAAAAAAATCATGCAAATTTTGATAATTCTACAATCTAAAAATTGATTGGCCATTAAACATAAATAAGCAAAATTATTAACATGTAAAGAAAATAACAAATGGGAAAAAAGGTGAAAATATAATGCAATAAAGTTCTAAGTAGTTTCAAACTAACTGCAAGAAGTGAATTTTAGGTAACGAGCAATTTTAGTTTGTGGATATAATATGTGACCCTGGACCACAAAAGCAGTCTTAAGTCGCTGGGGTATATTTGTAGCAATAGCCAACAATACATTGTATGGGTCAAAATTACTGATTTTTCTTTTATGCCAAAAATCGTTAGGATATTAATTAAAGATCATGTTCCATGAAGAGATTTTGTATATTTCCTACCATAAATATATCAAAACTTAATTTTTGATTAGCAATATGCATTGTATATATATATATATATATATATATATATATATATATAGAACTATTACAATAGTAAAAGACATATAAAATGAATTTAAATTGCAAAAAAAAAAAAAAGGACGCTAATGGGGAATCTCGAAATAAGCGCAAGATTTTTTTCTGTCTAATATGAAGTAAGTTATATGATTAAACCGATTCCATGACGCCATATGTGTGCGCCGGCGCAGAATTGTGACTAAAGCAAAGCTGAACCCTGGAACATACACTTAAACGTTGGGACAACGTGATTTGCCAATGACAGCCGAGAGTGCTGACCACTGAGAAACTACTGAAGTTTTCGTTCATCGGTATTTATCTGTTCTTCAGCTATCTTTCGAAACGGTAGAATGTCGCGTGTGCTGTTCGTTACAGATGCATGTTTGCAGTGTGTTGTCTGGTGAATCAGTTAGCTGTTTGGCTAACGTTACTCTCTTAGCATATCTACAGAATTAGTCCTGAACACTTTTTGTCATCATTTATTACATTACACACAGACAACATGTTGTCTGTAAATAGACACAGTCTGCAATAACAGCACACATGTAACGCACTTTACTTCATGCACATGGAAAACAAGACTTAAAGCAACAGTTCACAAAAATCAAACTTCTGTCGTTATTTACGTTACTCACCCTCATGTTTTTCCAAACCTGTATGGCTTTCTTCTGTGTAACAAGATGTTTGGCGCAATATTAGGGACTGACAGCACCTTTTGTCCACACGATGAAAGTGAATGGTGACTGCAGTGGTATTTCTGCCTAATATCACTATTTGAATACGTTCATACATGTTTGGAGCAATGCGAGGATGAATAAATAATCACAGGATTTTAATCTGGGTGTTAACTAGCCCTTTGAAACGGGTTATGACTCTTTGATTGCTATTTGGGGTGTCATGTTCAATCTGTTTTGTTGCAGAAAGAATGGCGCTGAATAAATCCATGCATCCTCGAAACCGCTATAAGGACAAACCTCCGGACTTTGTGTATCTGGCCTCTAAACACCCTGAGTTCCAGAAGCACGTGCAGACCACACTGACCGGCAGAGTGACGTAAGTCATGTTGGTTTTAGCGTTTTGAACGCGTCACATGACTTTGCTTGAGGAATTATGACCTAAGATATAAGAGATAAAAGTGTTGTTGTGTTCTAGCATTGTGAAAGGAAAAAAAAGACTGATCTGTCTCAAAAGACGATATATTTTTTGTATCTGTGATCTGCACATATTTGCATTTGAGTACAATGTGATATTAATTTAGAGATCTCAGACCAAACAATCACTCTTAGTATTCGAGAATATTTGTTTAGATTTGATATTTTTTAAATGTTTTTGAAAGAAGTCACCAAAACTGCAATTATTTGATCAGAAACACAGTTATAACAGTAATATTGTGAGAGATTATTACAATTTAAAATGTCTGTTTTCTATTTTTAGACATTTTAAAATGCAATTTATTCCTGTTGTGGCAAAGCTGAATTTTCAACATCATTACGCTTGTCTTCAGTGTCACATGATCCTACAGAAATCATTCCAATATGCTGATTTGCTGCTCAAGAAACATTTCTTATTATTATAAATGTTGAAAACAGCTGTGCTGCTTAATAGTTTTGTGGAATGCTTGAAACATTTAACATTTTTCTCAGGATTCTTTGATGAATTTGATTTCTGAATTTTATTAATTTAAAATATAGATATTTTCTAACATTTAAATGTTTTAAAGGAAATTGCTGTCACTTTTGAATTTAATGCATTCTTGCTGAGTAAAAATATTAATTTCTCCAGAGAAATTACTCCAGACATTTTTTCTTCTTCTTCTTTTTTCAGGCGCTACATTGACAAAATAAAATTAGACTTCAAAATAAAATAAATTGAGAATAAACTCATTAAATTATGAGAAAAAAAGTTGAATAAAAAGATATAAAATGTTGAGAATAAACTCATTAAATTACGAGAAAAAAGTGACATACTATTTACACTAAGTGAAAATAGCCATTCTATTTATGTTATGTAAAAGTAGCATATCTTTGCAAAGTACAAATAGTAGGTAATTAGATTGTATTTATACTTATAAATAGTAACAAATACTATTTGCACCTCAGTATTGTTGTACATTAACAGGATGCAATAATAACATAGTGTAAATGACTTTATTTATTTAAATTATTAAATAGCCTAGATGCTGCCTTATTAGGAAACAAAGCTCTCCGATAGCCTGTCTACCCCTAATCAAACCAAAGATTCCACTGTGATTTAAACTAGTTTAAAGGCAGAGGAAACAGTGCTGCCATTCTCAGCAACACTTGACGCAGAAAACAGGAGAACCACTGCGACAGCAATCAGTTAGAATACTTTTCAATCCACAAATTAATATTTACAATGGATTTACTGTAGCAACACTAAATTTACCCAATCAATGCATTATTATTAAACGCTCATTAGGCAATTGATTTCCACTTTTCCTATGTGATATGTGATGTGAAAAGGAAGAAAAGCGAGTTTGGCAAAAGATGGACTCGAACCCTTGTCATCATATGCTACATCCATGTGCATTACACTCCAGCCTACGCCACTGCAGTCACTGTTTGACACTCTCCAATGAGATGAAATGAACCTTGCACGAGTGTGTTTATTCTCCGCATTTTAATTCGACTTTTTATCTTGAAATTTAGTGGGGGGGTTTTCACTTGAAGTGTAACAACTTTTTTCTCTAAATGACTTTTTTTCTTGTAAATTAAGTTTATTCTCAGCATTTTATTTAGACATTTTTGTCGGATTTTAACGAGTTTTTTCTCGAAATTTAATGAGTTTATTCTCAATTTTATTTAGACTTTTTTCTCGAAATGTAACGACTTTAATCTCGAGATGGTTTTATTTTATTATTATTGCTTGGCCCTAATCCTCTTCCGTACAAAGGTAAAGATCTACCACATGAATAATATATTTTTTTTATTATTTTCCAGTTATAAATCCCACCCTACACATTTTTTTCCTTTAATGACTTTAAACTGCCATAGAAGAACATGTTAATATTAATAACATTACAAACGCCATCTTTTAAAATACCAGTCACACTTTATCTCCCACAAACAAGCACTCTGTCCCTAATAAATTAATTCATATAAATTTTAGATAATATTTAATGCTCACAAACTGGTATGTTGAAGTCTGCTAGGTTGCATGTAATCTCAAAGGAGTCAGTCAGCAGACTTCTGCTTTGGCTTTGTAAAGGAGATGAGTTATTTGTGGATCAATAATCACATTGGCGCAGTATTTTAGGCCTGTCCCATTGAGGCAGCTGCTATGATTGGATGAGCTTCCTGCTGTGACTGTCGATACTCAGCAGCGCATCCAGAGCTCCAGGGGAGAGACGGAGCTCGTGCTGTTGTCAGAAAATGAACTTGACAAGCAGCACTCCTCTCTGGGAAAATTGCCTGTGTTTTTTTCCCCTCTCTTCATCGTCTTTCAGTTTTTTAGCCCCACTTGCAAGATTACTTTTCGGTCTAATGGGAATCATCTGAGCAAATGCCCTACAGTCATGTCTGAGGCTGAACATCTTGCTTTTTTTTTTTTTTTTTGCCAAGTCTCCATATTTCCAGTCAGTCCCACTTGGTTGTGCACCGTTACCGTTGACCTTGCCAAGAGGTGTGTGCATCTCTCTCCACTAAGCGAAACGTCCCAAAGGTTTTAGAGGTAGTGCATGCAAATCAGCCGCTGTGCCTACAGGGTTTCAGCTTAAAGAAACAGCGCAATGTTCTGCTCAGTGAAGTCTTGACAGGAGCAAAGATCTCAGCCTCTGGGAGTTTAACGCTTGAGGTGCCAGAGGCCAGTATCTCAGATCTCTTGGGTATTCTTCTGTTTTGCCCCAGCTCAGGTCTCTGGAAACTCTTCACGGTCTTAGCCAAGCCTGAGGGTTTGTATAACAGGCTCAGTTTTTACAGGCTCAGCCTCCATCGTTATTTTACTGATTGTTTTGGACCCATTTTGGCAGCTGAAAGAAAGACTGTGATTATGCATGCATGAGAGGAAGCTGGAATCTCGGATGCTTCTTTTCGATACTGGGCTGTTTCCTGCTCATATCTGTGGAAAAGCACTGCAGATGTGCACTACAGAGCTGTGGAGTGGCAGGTGGAAAGGGGCACAAAAGCATCGAGCGGAAGAACGCCTCAAGTGTTTGAGAGGTGGAGAGCAGGAGATTGTAATTGGGACACAGTCAGACGGTGTGTGTGGTTGTGCGGTGACTCTGTTTCAGAGTATTGTCTCTAATTGTTGACTTTTGATGATCATGGAACTGAGAAAGACCATTGAGGATTGACTGACCAATAGGGGTTTTTCAAATGTGAAGATGTCGATATCTGGAGATCAAGGTGGATGATGTAAAACTGATTAAACTAGTTCACCCAAAAATGAAAATTCTGTCATCATTTACTCACCCAAGTTATTTCAAACCTGTACGAGTTTGTTTCTTCTGTTGAACACAAAAGAAGATATTCTGAAGAATGTTGGAAACCAAACAGGTGACGGTAGCCATTGACTTCTATAGTATTTTTTTCTATACTATAGAAGTCGATGGCTACCGTCAGCTGTAGCCAATGTAATTTATTTCTGTGATTTCAAAGCTAAATTTTTTAGCATCCTCACTCCAGTCTTCAGTGTCACATGATCCTTCAGAAATAATTCTCATGTGCTGATTCGCTGCTCAAGAAACATTTCTTCTTATTATCAGTGTTTAAAATGGTTCATATTTTTAATTAATGCTTTTTTTTTGGAAACCGATCCGTTGATGAATAGAAAATTCAAATGAACAACATTTATTTTAAATGAGTGCTGTCAAGCGATTAATCGCGATTAATCGCGTCCCAAATAAAAAAAATTGTTTACATGTGTATACTGTGTATATTTATTATTTATATATAAATACACACATATGCATGTAAATATTTAAGAAAAATGTTACGTTTATATATTAAAAATATTTATATATGATATAATTTATATGAATACAAATATACATGTAAATGTTTTCAAAATATATGCTGTATGTGTTTGTCTTTATATATACATAATAAATATACACAGCACACTCATATATTATGTAAACAAAAACTTTTATTTTGGATGCGATTAATCATTTGACGGCACTATTTTAAATAATCTTTTGTAACATTTCAGTGTCTTTTTTTGGCATTTTAACGTTCTTTGCTAAATAAAAGAATTAAGAAGAAGACATTTCATATTTAAATTAGCATTTATATGTAACACGCACCACATTGCTGCAAAAAAGTAAAAATGTATTTATATAATTTATTTATTTTAATAATATCTTTTAAAATATTTAGAAACCATTTATTGTACTATATATATATATATATATATATACTGAACTAAATTATAAACGCAATACTTTTGTTTTTGCCCCCATTTCTCATGAGCTGAACTCAAAGATCTAAGACTTTTTCTATGTACACACAAGGCCTATTTCTCTCAAATATTGTTCACAAATGTCTAAGTCTGTGTTAGTGAGCACTTCTCCTTTGCCGAGATAATCCATCCACCTCACAAGTGTGGCATATCAAGATGCTGATTAGACAGCATGATTATTGCACAGGTTTTGTGTACATAGAAAAAGTCTTAGATCTTTGAGTTCAGCTCATGAAAAAAGGGGGCAAAAAAAAAAGTGTTGCGTTTATATTTTTGTTCTGTGTGTGTGTGTGTGTGTGTGTGTGTGTGTGTGTGTGTATATATATATATATATATATATACACACACAGTCATGGCCAAACATATCGGCACCCTTGGTAAATATGATCAAAGAAGGCTGTGAAAGTTAATCTGCATTGTTAATCCTTTTGATATTTTATTTAAAAAATTCACAAAAATCTAACCTTTCATTGGAGAATAAGAATTTTAAATGGGGGGAGATATCTTTATGAAATAAATGTTTTTCTCATACACATTGGCAACAATTAACGGCACCTTTTTATTCAATACTTTTTGAAACCTCCATTTGCCAGTTTAACAGCTCTAAATTTTCTCCTATAATGCCTGAGGAGGTT